GGTCCCTTGCCTTCCCTGTATATTTCCCAGCAGAGACGGGTTGCCCAAGCACACCTGCTGGCTTTCCTTTCAGAGATGGGAAAGAGGTGTCATTGCTACAGTGACACGGTCCCGCACAGCACTGCCGATCCGAGCCTGCTGTATTCGCAAGGTACAAAGCATTCCAGAGAAACCACGTTAAAAATCAATAAAAGAGTCTACCCGCCTGCTAATAAGCTTATCGGGGCTCACCCCAACCCCAATCTGGGCTCCGGCAGGAGCAGTCCTTCAGCCCCCCACCCCAGGGTGATTCCTTGTGGTTTCAGGTTCATCACAGCTTCAGCTCAGAACAAGCACCCAGGCTTACAGGCCCAGGCTTTCCCTTTCCTAAGGATTGGGGCCCCCCGGGGACCAGGGTCCTATTCCTTTGCTGGATCAGGAAGAAGGCCCTGAGCCAGTTTAAAACCAGGCCATTTATCCAAAAATCCTCTTTGTCCATTGATCCCTGGAGAATTCACTTTGAACTAGTATAGGCACACCTCCCCAGGGGGTGGCTTCACAGGGCTGACAACCGGAGGAATTACGTTAGCCTCCAACTTATACTAGGGAAGGTACATACAGCTCCACAACACATACACAGTGGCGTTGTTAATACACTGGAGTCCAAAGATATTAACCCCAATTCAATAAGGTTTGCCTTAATTCATTAAAGTTTATCTTAATTCCATGAGGTCTGTGCAGGATATGGCAGGACGTTGTCAGTCTGCCACAGAGTTCACTACTGTCTCTATGCAAGGGACACCATCATAGGACCTAACCACATCAGCCACGCCATCAGGGGCTCGTTCACCTGCACATCTACCAATGTGATATATGCCATCATGTGCCAGCAATGCCCCTCTGCCATGTACATTGGCCAAACCGGACAGTCTCTCCGCAAAAGAATTAATGGACACAAATCAGACATCAGGAATCATAACATTCAAAAACCAGTAGGAGAGCACTTCAGTCTCCCTGGGCACTCAATAACAGACTTAAAAGTGGCCATTCTTCAACAAAAAAACTTCAGAAACAGACTTCAATGAGAAACTGCAGAACTGGAATTAATTTGCAAACTTGACACCATCAAATTAGGGCTGAATAAAGACTGGGAGTGGCTGGGTCACTACAAAAAATAATTTCCCCTCTGTTGATACTCACAACTTCTTGTCAACTTTTGGAAATGGGCCACATCCACCATGATTGAATTGGCCTCATTAGCACTGACCCCCCCCCACTTGGTAAGGCAACTCCCATCTTTTCATGTGTTGTATATTTATACCTGCTACTGTATTTTCCACACCATGCATCTGAGGAAGTGGATTCTAGCTCACAGAAGCTTATGCACAAATAAATTTGTTAGTCTCTAAGGTGCCACAAGGACTCCTCATTGTTTTTACTGTATTTAAGACATCCCAAAATTATTATTATTGTTTGTATTACTGTAATCCCTACGAATCCTTATCACGGACCAGGATCCCATTGGTTAGGTGATGTACATACACAGACCAAACACAGTCCCTGCCCCAAGGACATTACAATCTAAGCGTAAGACAAGAGACAGCTGATAGATACAGGAGTACCGGGAAACAATGATGAGAAATACCGGTCAACGCACAGACCAAGAGCCTAACTGTGGTCAGGGTTTTTGTAGGCATCACAGCAAAGGAGAGTTTTGAGAAGGGTCTGGAGGCTAAGTGGGTGGCTTTGTGGATGCTCCCAAGCGTGTGGGGCGGCGTGGCAGAAAACACGAAGGTGGTTGTTTGAAAATTTGACAAGCGGAGGAGCGAGGCTGGCATGACAGCTGAGCAGAGATGAGCATCGACAGCTCAACAGAGAATGAGAGATGAGGGCTAGGGTGGGCAGAGACCATGAAGGGCCCTGAAAGCGAAGACAAGCTTGTGTTTGATGCAACAGAGAAAGGAGAACCAAAATCCGCAACAAGATTTTAAAGTTAGCAAGAACAGACAACGCTCAAATTCAAAGGTAATCCGGTGGGTGTTCAAGACTCTGGGGTCTATTCGACCAATCTAGCATTAAGATGCAGTATGGTGCCAAAACAGTTTTAAAAACCTATGCATATTACCAAATTACCCTCTACCAGGAGTCAAATGGCCTCACTCCATTGAAGTCAGAGCTGGGGAGCTGGCCCCATTGATTTCAATGGTGGTGGAAGTCAGACTTCAAGGCTATTTCATTCTTTCTCATAATGAAAAATGCCACGGGATCTACTCTGTTATTGGCTACAATGGGAATCCTCATGTGAGAAAGGATTACTCACAGGAGTAAGGGTTTATAGGGCTGGGCTCATGGTGTTTTACATCTGACAACTTGGGATTCATTAATTACATTTACAACCCTGTATGAACCATTTCTTGGCCTTTAAACTAAAATCAAAAGTAGCTTCAGTTTAGGAAAGGCAGCGTTGCCTAGCAGATAGAGCATTAGCCTAGGACTCAGGAGACCTGGGTTCTTTCCTGTCTCTGCTGCTGGGTGACCTTGGGCAAGTCACTTCCCTACTCTGTTCCTCAGTTTCCCCATCTGTAAAATTGGGCTAATGACATTGACCTCCTTTGCAAAGCGCTTTGAGATCTACTGATGACAAGCGCTATAGGACAGCTAAATATAAGTTTTATTCTATTAATACATGATAGTTCCTGCTCTTGCAGCAGGATGGATTCATTGGGCCGGATGCTTACTTGGTATTGGTGTAGTGCCTCTGACATCCATGGAGCTACTCTGGTTTACACCAGCTGCGGATCCTGTTCTGATAATAGATGTTCTTCTTTAACCACTACAAGTCTAGGCTCCTATGTCAATGTTCTAAAAATACTGCAACCATGCCACCTAGTGGACAGCCAGATAACTCGATCAAAGATAACGTTTCCTCATTAGCATGTCATGCTTTACGCTATTGCAATGTGGAAAGCAAAAGTTGCCCTATTTAGCAAAGTCAATCCTCACTTTAGGATATGACGAGAATGATTTTCTTTGTTAGACATTGGCTGGTGAAAGGGTAAATATAAGTGTCCTTTGGCAGACATGTCTGATAAAAGCTCATAGATCCATAGAGTCCAAGGCCAGACGGGACCATTGTCACCATGTGGTCTGATCTCCCGTACCATACAGGCCAGAGAACTTCCCAAACTAATTCCTAGAACAGAACTTTTAGAAAAAACATCCAATCTTGATTTTAAAATTGTCACTGATGGAAAATCTACTACGACCCATGGTAAATTGTTCCAATGGTTAATTACTCTCACCATTAATGTGCGCTTTATTTCCAGTCTGAATTTGTCTAGCTTCAATTTCCAGCCATTGGATCATGTTAGACTTTTGTCTGCTAGACTAAAGAGCCCATTATTAAACATTTCTTCCCCATGTCACCTCTTAACTTTCTCTGTTAGCTAACTAGATTGAGCTCTGTGAATCTATCACCACAAGGCAGGTTTTCTAATCCTTTAATCATTCTTGTGGCTCTTGTCCTGGAGAGATAGCTCAATGGTTTGAGCATTGGCCTGCTAAACCCAGAGTTGTGAGTTCAATCCTTAAGGGGACCATTTAGGGATCTGGGGCAAAAATCTCTCTGGGGTTGGTCCTGCTTTGAGCAGGGGGTTGGACTAGATGACCTCCTGAGGTCCCTTCCAACCCTGATATTCTATGAACTCTGTCAAATGTATTTAATTCCAGCTATTCCTTTATAGTCACCCATCCAAGTCTAGGCAATATCATTGGTATGAAAAGGTGGGGGGGAAGTTAACGGGGAGCCAAGAAATGACACAATGATCTGAATCCCAAACCTTTCCAGGGAGTTTTTCAAATGTCAAGTCTCTGTGTTCACAAGTGAAGCCAAGACAATAATTGTGGAACGTGGAAGCCAATCAAAGTGTTCACCTGAGCACTCCACATAAGCATGTGAACATAAGGGGTTGCATCTTGGGAAAATGCAAGCAATAGCAAAACTCCCATTTACTTCAGCAGGACCAGGATCCAGTTGACACTCTCCTTCCCTTCACTTCTCCTGCACAACCTCATGCTGGAGATCTCCTAGTCACCTTGACGTTAAGGCCAGAAGAGATCGTTATGATCATCCACTCTGACGTCCTGCATAAGCCAGGCCATAGAATGTCACCTAGGGATTCCTGCACTAGAGGGAACTAACTGCCCTCAAGCCCAATAAGCGGTGGTTGAACTAGAGCATCCATTGGATGGGCCAAAGCCACAACACCACTCTCTAAAGGGAACCCGTTAAGTCCTGACGTCTCTGCACCCTGCCTCAGAACAGTGTTCGTGTGTGGCCATCACTTGACTTCCATGGTGCCTTGCACTCATGTCCCTTGACTTCAGTGGAACCAGGCTTGGCCCAAAAGAAATAGCTTGTCTAGATTCCAGTTTTCAACCTTTAATAAGTGGGCGGTTTGGTCCAGTGGCTAGGGCCCGAGCTTAGCAGCTGGGAGACCGAGGGTCAGTTCCCTGCTTGACCACAGAGTGCCCATGTTGCTTGGGGCAAGTTGCTGTGTGCCTTGTTCATTGTGCCTCAAATAGGGATACTAGCATTGTTGTGAGGTGCTCAGACCCTATGACCCCCAAGGTCACAGAAATGCCTAAAAAAACATAAACCAACCTGTGTGATAGTCCCATCCAGTCTAACCTGGGTGAGGTTTTTCGGAGTGAGCCAGATGCTGATTCGCTGTGTTTTCCAACACCCACAGACGTACTATATTGTCATCAAACTTTGGGCCAGCTCCTCAGCGGGTGTAAACTGGTTCTGCTCCAGTGAAATCAAGGCTGCTGCACTAATTCACAGCAGCAGAGGACTGAGCGCCGTACGTCCCTCTGCAATAGCTGAGGGCCCTGCTGAGCCAGGAGCCCCCCCCAAAGAGCTGTTGGCGTCATGAGCACCTACACTCCCTGTCTCTTTATGCTGCAGCTGGTGGACTAACCGTGCAGCTTTACTCTGAAAGGTGACAGCAGGCCTGCTGCATTCAAAAGTGCTGTATTTTGCCCAAGTCCTCCTGGGGGGAGGTGCCACAGAGCTGTCCCTCCCTCCCTTCCCCACCAGATCCGCAAGTCTGTGCTCTCAAAAGGAAAGGGGCACGACTGGTTGAGTGCCGTTCTTGCAACGGCATCAACTTGCAGCCAAATCAAAGGGCTCCCTTCAGAGCCCACCTCAGTATGACTGAAAAGTCTTGTGAATTGTCCCGAAAATGAATCTCTCTCAATTTGTAGCTTGAATGTTTCAAACAATAAGCAGGAGGGTGGGAGAGGGTCACTGAGAGGGGACCTGGCCTGGAGGAGAATCTCCCCCTGTCCAACCAAACTAGCACTGACTGCAGATTGTTTGCATCACACAGTCCAGTCCAGCCAAGCTCAAGCTGGATTCCCTTTGAAAGAAGCAAAACGAAGGGAAACCCACTGACACTGCACCAGCTGAGATCGAGAGCAGCTCCTCGGGCTCCGGGGCCCCACGGAGAGGAAGACAGGCAGCATTCCTGACTCCGTTTTGTCAGGGGGGCCGTGTATTTCATTGCTGATCTGGGATTGGCGGCACAAGTCACTTCTGGAAACCTTTGCAAGTTTCCATGTGACGCAAAGGAATGGGTGGCATTAGCCGTGCTTTGGGAGAGTCCCATGGCGCCACTGATGTCTATAGCATGTCACTACGAAACATTGACAAGGGACCAGAGGTGATACCCTGGCCCCACCAAAATCAATGGAAAACTCCCACTGACTTCAGGGTTTCACCCCATGGTTTTTAAAGCTGGAAACCTCAGTAGAATCCACGTGTTAGAGGGATACCGAGCTTCAGTGGGGCAGGGCGGCTCCAGTTGCCAATTTTCCGTGTTAAACCATCCCTGGGGCCACTGAGTAAAAGGCGGCCTTGTGTCTAAGGCTCTGGCCTGGAACTCAGGAGAGCTGGGTGCAAGTCCCAGCTCTGCCACGGCCTGCCTCTGTAACCCTAGGCCAGTCACATCATCTCTCCGTGCCTTCCTCCCCCGTCTGTGAAGCGGGGACGATACTTCCCCCACCTCATGGTGAGACTGATCATTGATGTATGCGACTCTCCTGTAAGAGGAGCCACGTCGGCGCGTAGACAGAAATTGTGCCAGTCTATCGAGTGCTGGGAAAATAGGTTCTGATCCCGCTGACATCAACAGAAGCCGAGGTGACTCAATGCCTCACAGAATCAGATGCACAGAGTGGTCTGATCTTCCACCCAGAAACATCAGCTTCCTCGCGTTAGTGCTCTGTCCCTCCCTGCTCAGCCCCAGAATCCGTGTGTGACTGACAGAGCCACCAGCTCTCCCTGGTCTGACTTTCACGGGTTGCTTAACGTTGTAAATGTGGGGGGTTAAAACATCCAGGATGAGAGATGGGCACCACAGCCAGTTGAGGAGGAAAAGACACAAGTCCTGAAGAACAAAGCTTGGCCCTCAGACCCCGAGATAGCTACAGGCCTGGCAGTCAGAAAAAACGGCTCTTCACTAGTAAAGTGACTGCTAGGGAGATCAGTGAGAAGCTGCCAGTGTGCCATCCCAGAGGGTTTTTACAGTCTTTGGAGCACAGCTGCATTTTCAGTTCAACGTTAGGGCAAAGGCTTGTGCTAGTTCTACTGACACTAACCTGGTTCACCCGCGTCTGCTGCTCCAACCGCAAACAAACAGATTCTGCCACATTTACAGCAAAGCGTTCTCTCCTCCGCGAGTAGTCTCCTTCATTTCAACGGGGCTATTTATGGAGCACTCAGAACCTGGGTCTGCGCTTCTTCCCACCTGGGACTGTGACCAAACCAAACCAACAGCATAAGCCGTTCAGATGAGTCCCTTTCTCCGACCGTTATACCCACCCAATGTCCTTCGCCAGCGCCGCTTCTGTGGTTAAAACAAACTGGTGGGCAGTACCATATACAAAAGCAGCTTCCATTACTGCTCTGTGCTCTAAAAAAAAAAAAAAAAGGGTTCCAGTTAATACATTCTTAGCCCACTCCCTCACCCACGCTAAATATTACAGCCCAGATTTTCGGAATCGGCGTCAAAAAAAAATATATGCCTGGCTAATTGGCATGCATTTCAGTATACTCTGCATGGTGAAATGGATCTTTCTTTTAAACAGAAACCAAGATGTTTGGAGATCTGGGTCAGAAACTCAGTTCTGCACTATCTTATCAAAAAACAGAAAAAGCTCCTGAAAGGATATTAAGATGGAAGGTTGATTTTAGTACCTGGCGTTCCAATCGCTGGCACATAGGCAAAGACGACATTTGATCTTCCCTTCAGAGAATTCTCTAGATTCTGAAGCTCCACCAGCGTTGTAATATATTTAACTTCGTTAAAGAGAAGGGCGCTGAGAAGACATAAAAATCTCATTTACAGCATTCTTCAAAAGCAACCAGAAAATTTTCACCCACAACTGCAGGCACAGAGCAGAGCACCTCTGGCTACCTGCCTCATGAAGAAGCAGATGCAACTGCTCCGATTTGCCCCGAAATAGTCCCCCAGGATGTACCGAGTTCATGTTTATGCAAAGCGTCAGGCAACAAGCGAAAAAACAAAGCAAATGATTTCACACAGATGAATGTTCGCTCTACTTACAACAGGGTATTGGCTACAATGGCATTCACATCGAACAGGGCATCTGTGGGGAATTCTCTGAGCAATACGTTACCTCTAGGAAAGAGAACAACCAACCAAGTCATAAATCAACATAGAGGTTATTTATCCATGTAGCTGTACTTCCTAGTTCCTGATTCTTTTTCCAGATTCTAAGCCCAGACGGGATCATTCTGATTATGCCGTCTGACCTCCAGCATAACAGGCCGTAGAATTCCTGCACTGAGCTCAGTGCCTTTGGTTGAACTAGTGCATTTATCTTTTAGACAGACATTGCCCAAAATGCTCATCTGAGAGGAGACAAGAGACTCCTCTTAAATGGGACAGGTCAGTTAAAAGGAAAGCGTTTGTGCAAGGGATATGAACGTCTATGGGAGTTGGGCACCTAACTCACTTAGTGCTTTTGGTGGTGTCTTCAATCTAACAAGCCTGCAAGAGATCCACAATGAATCCTGTATTAGCCCACTTTGCATTAACTTCAGTGCACTTTGGATCAGATCCTTTGTCAGGTAGGGAGACTGATCAGTGGTGAGCAAATGTAACCCATGCTTACTCTGAGTGGTGCTCTGTCCCCCTCTAGTGGTGACTGGGCCACATAAGGTAGAGCTGACTGGGAATTTTTCATCAGTGTTTTTCAACTGAAAATCCAATTTTCACAAAATATTTTTGACAAATATTTTCAGTTTTTCACCAGGAAAATCTAAATGAAATATTTCATTTTTGATCAGGTCAATAGCTCCTGAGCCATGCAGTGCCTCGTGGGAGTTGTAATTTGGGTGCCTCGGCCCCCATTCTCCTCCATGGGCCAGGCTCCCCGGCTGAACTACATTTCCCATGATGCATCATGGTCTGACCTCTGGCTGAACCTCTACAGTGCATCAAGGGAGTCATATAACCATGGTGCATGCAGTCATATAACCATGGGAGATGCAGTCCAGTTTTTTTCCCCATAATGAAATCCTGCAGTCTAGCAGACTCTTGTCTCTGTTCCTTGTAATTTCAGCCTTCTGGTTTGTTAAAAAGAAACAAAAAAGTATTCACTTACACGCCAGTTCTTGGTGTAAAATGACCGCAGTTGCCTTGTATAAATATTTGCTTCCTCCAGAATAACACCAAGCAACTTATCTCTAACAAAGTCAAGAAAATCACACTAAATTCACCCAGGCACCTCTTGTGAGGTCTAACCCATTCCTTCCATTCCCATCCAGTACTATTACAGGGCAGTGATCTATCTAGGGATACCTAAACCTACCTGGGCATGGGGATGGAGGGGGTGGACCAGGTGACCTCTTGAGGTCCCTTCCAGCCCTACATTTCTAGGACTCTATAAGAGCGATTTGTGGTATCCATTCCAGCTATTCACCTAAGCCACAATTTTAAATTGAATTTTCCATACTGATTCATCATTGAAAGCTAAAGGTTCCTCCCTGTACTTCCTGGATAATCGGAGAGGCTTCTAGGACTGGCAGACAGCTTGTCCGCTACTAATGGGCCTGATCTAAAATGGAGGTCTTTCCATTTTCAAAGGATCATGGTGGAAAGTGTCTCCTTCATTGCTACAGCCTTCCAGTGCCGGACATGTCAGCTTGCCGACGTGGTTTCCTTAAAACCTTGCAACAGAGAACCTTTCAAAAACAGTATTTTATTTAGTCACTAGCATGCAATAAAACTCCATTCACCTGAACAGGTACGCTTTCATTAAGGCATTTTCTTTCCCACAATATCTTGATACATCTTCTTTGAGACAATTAACCTGGGTATTTAAAACAAGTCGTTATAAATCTTGACGCACAGACAGATACCTACAAATAGATAAAGTTGGAAGCATTTTATGGTCCAACTGTATGAAAGAGAATTTTTTAAAACCTATTGTAATAGGCAAAAATGCAATTAAGTGATACTGTGAATGGGATCCAGTGTTATGATTAAGATTTTACAAGCACAAAAGTCAGGAAATTCCAAGTCATGGTTCTCAAACAAACATAATTTAGCTACCTTCATTCAGTTTCACCCAGTTACTCCTATAGTAAGCCCAAATTATGTTTGATAGCAATGTGCTAATTTGCGTAGGATAACACTTAACAGAAAAGGCCGAGGAAAATTTCTTTATACTTCTCCTCAAAATATTTGGACTGAAAGCAAGCGTGTGAAATTTCAGCCAAAAGGTCATCTTTTAGAAAGCTGAACCTGCCTCAGGATAAGGATTAAAGGTTCGGTTGGTTGCAAAATGGTGTTTTTTTCCCCCCACAGTAAATGTAGATTTTTTTCAGCCAAAATCTGAATATTGAAAATATTACTATTTAGAAATGCTGCCACAGTGCCTCCCATTGTCCTCTGTAGGCAGGGCTCGGACTACATCGCCCATGATGCACCATGACCTCCCCTACTAAAGATGGGAGGGGATGCATCATGGGAGTCCCTGGCCACAATCCATGCAGGGAGACCCCTGCACTCACACAGAACCCAACGGAGCTTAATGGAGTTCCATGCAAGCCAGGGATTTGCCAGCAGAGAGCCAACTCTGAGAGCAGAGAGCCCCCAGAGAGCAGGGTCGGACAGATGACAACAGCACCTTCTCAACTAGCTGCTTAGCATTGCTAGTGCTGCAGTTTAGAGGTGACTGCTGTGAACACATGAATACATCTGTTCCGCAGACAGTGACAACATAACCACCTGTACGGAGAACTGTCCCGCCTGCCCATGTGATCAGAATTACAGCCCCACCAGAGAACAGCCGCGTTATTGAGGAGTCTACATTTCTCAGCTAGGAAAACAAATGACATGTTCATTTACCTTCACCACTGAAATCCCATAATCCTGAAGAGCTCCGACCGAGTTCTCTAGCTGTTCCAGAAACAGACGGACACCTGGAGAAACTGAAACACCAATAAGAGCTGGTTTCTCTAGATCTCTGGCCCTCTTGAGTATCAGGTAGAGTAGCTAGAACAAAACCTAATGTCACCTAATCTCTCTGGAGCAGACTGAGTTACCCTGACTTGCACTGAGTAGTAGCTTGCTCCACAAGTCTCCCCACTGATTTCAGCAGGGCTACTAGTCAACACAGACACGGGTATGACAAGCTGGCCTTATTTGCCTCAGTTTCCCATTTTACAGAGAGGGGCAACGTTACTTCCTGTTTCCCCAAGGAGGCACTTTTGGAGAGAAATACAACCCCCTTTCGGCAAGCTAGTCCACAGAAGGAGTTCCTTACGCGCACACAGAGCTCCGATGAAGGCAACGGGGGTCTGACAAAGACACAGAGGTCTGCCCAGGCAGCTCAAACTGCGGGATGGGTGCCTCCAACAGGAACAACAGTAGGAAAGCGCTCGCCTCCTCACATTTCTATGATCATCGGGAATATGCCGGGGAGTTGGCAAATTCCTGCTCTAAGAGATGTTCTTTCAAACTATTTAGGGTTTCAAGTTTTCCAAGAACTGTGACCATCTGATTTTCACCATTACCAAAGGGCCTTTTCCACAGCTACAATGTTCTTTGCTCTCACAAGCACGTGAGACTTTCCCCTCAAGTTGCTTATTTCTCCTGCGAAGCCAGGATAATGAAAACACATACATTTAAAATACATACCATCTCGACTAAAATAAACCAGGGATGCTCTTCCCGGCTGCAAGCTACTGAAATACTCCTGGGGGCTCAGCTCTAGCAGCATATTTGCATTTCTTGCCGCAGCCATGTAATAAGTACATAACAGGAAGAAAGAGAAGCAAGAAACCCATCCATTCATTTGGGGGAGCATGATTTCATCAGTTAAAGTCACTGCAGAAGCCACATCTGAAAAAAAAAAAAAATTGTCTGCTGTTTACATAGATTTCCAGATCTGTGACTAATTTACAAATGTGACAAGGCCAATAAACACCAGTGATTAAAATGCGAGTTTATCTAACTATAAAAATAGCAGATGAATTCAGTAACAGCAAAGCTAATGTTGATTACAATTGCAGGCCATTCCTGTTTCTTATTAATTATATTTGCAACCCTCTGTGGCTGTGGTTTGGGGCTGGGGATTTTTTTGTTTGTTTCTGTTTTGGTTTGGTTTTTTGAGATGGTTAGAGAAAGTCAAGTATCCAGAAATGAAAACAGTGCCCACCTACACACGGATCTTTCAATGCACAACTCTCCCCACCCCCCCACCTCAAGTAACTGATTAGGATCAAAGTAGCTTCATACACTCTACTGATCATGACTTGCATGAACAAAAAGCTTCCCAAAAGGCCTGATTAGCCACTTCTTTGCTCCAGTTTTACGCCAGTGCCACTAGAATGAAATCAGGGTAACGCAAGGGCCAACCAAGCCTTTTTACTGTGCACAAACTGGGTTAAGAAAAGAGCAGACACATGAGATGTTTATTGCATTCCCCCCTCATCCATGCACAGAAGGTGAAATTCACACCCCCGTCTCCTTGCGGCAAAGCTGGAGTGGGGACCTCTATGAAACTTTGGGAGTTGGATCTAGCCTCCAACTTTTTTGCGCAGGATGTAGGGCAGCCCTGCGTGCAACTGCCATCCCTGGACCGGCACAGGGGCCAAAGCTGCAGCAGGATCTGCATCCGAAGAAGTGGGCTGTAGTCCACGAAAGCTTATGCTCTAATAAATTTGTTAGTCTCTAAGGTGCCACAAGTACTCCTGTTCTTTTTGCGGATACAGACTAACACGGCTGCTACTCTGAAGCAGGATCTGTGTTGGCTCTCCCTCTCCTCCCCGCCACGCTGCCTGGTGAGGAGCTGGCACAGAGCCCCCTGAATCTCAATGGGTGCTCTCTCCAGGGCTGCCCAACCCCCACACACTAGCAACACTGCAACTTGGCTCTGTTGGGGAGCCTTCCACAGACCCCTTGAGAGGCTCTGATGATCTCCGCCCTGTTGGTAAAGTAACCTTCGGGTGACCTTGACACAGCAAAAATCATGCATCCAGTTCATCAAACCTCCCAAAGCAAACGAGTGCTGTTCTTCTATCCAGAACCAACACAAATAAACAAGGTGCCTTTGCAAGAGTATTGCAGGATTAGAAAATGTCACCTGTATTTGATTCTTCTGTGTAATGTTGGTTTGCAATAGATGACTCAGCCACTAGATGTCACTGTTTGCTGTATAGCGTTCCTAACAAGGTGTGGTTCCTGGCAAACAAGGGAGACAAAGCTGGGATTCAAGCTGCATAGAAGCCCCTTTGTTTTGCACTATAGCTGCAGATGATTTCTTTACTCAACACCTCCTGTTTAAGACAGACCATGAAACTGCATATTGTGACATCTTGTGCTCCCAGCTATTAGGGTTGCCAATTTTGGTTGGACGCATTCCTGGAGGCTTCATCGCATGACATAATCTTTAATTAAAGATTAATCTTTGAATCCTGGAGACTCCAGAACAATCTGGAAGGCTGGCAACCCTAACTAACTGAGGCTGTTATAGCAGTAGTGCTCAAAAAACAAACACAAAATCCGGCCACCCTCCAACAGCAGACATAGTTAATTGTGGATAGACATCGTTTTTGTGGATACAGACTAACGCGGCTATCCCCTGACAGTTAGCAAAGACACAGAGACCTAATCTTCAGGTTCTCCCTCTGTGTTCAAGTACTCTGCCTTTCCTGCTCTCTGCATGGAAAACAGGACACTTTAAAATACAAGTACACACAAATTCCACTTTATAGTAAGAAGGCTTGGAAGGATTAGATATTTATTGGTAAACGTCAGTAAACACTGATTGCACTGTATACATACTAACCAATGAAAATATATTTCCTTCTATAATAATCTAAATGTACAGGCAGGAGAAATAAGGAAAATGCTGTTTGAGAATTTAGAGTCAAAGTTCAGTGATTTAGACTTTCCAATTAGCTTGTTACAAAGAGACTAGCAAATGAACAGTAAAAACAGGTATGATTTGTTAAATGAAGGATATTTCCTTTGTGTAGTTTGATACGTGATATTGACAATTTATGTCAACGGTTTATAAAGCCTTAACTCTTTGAATCTCAATGTCTAAATAATTGTCTGACCACCTCCCCAGCATTTCATACAGCTGTGAAAATATAAATGGATACAAAGAGAAAAAAAAATGCTTAAAAATATGTCGATATTATCCATCAAAATGATAAAAATCTAATTCTGCCAAGATGAATAGTAAGCAACACTATCACCACATGCCATTGTGTCTGTCCGCTCCTTGTTGAGTGATGCTTAACATCCAGGGGCACAAAAAGTACTCCTGGGGAAATTCTGCACCAAAAAAATTAAAATTCTGTGCACAATATTTTAAAATTCTGCATATTTTGTCAAAATAACACTATATAATCATGCCAGTTTCAATGATTTCGGTAATTTATTTCAAAATACCTGTCAGCAAGTATGTCTGTAACAGTACAGACAAAAAAATTCCCCCAGGAGTAGAGAGTTAAAAAAAGCCCTATGACAACCCAGTTCCTGTTTCTCTGCCCACTCTTCCCCAGAGCCCAGGGATCCAGAGGGAGAAACGGACTGATGCTGAGTCCCGGGCTTGTAGGGAGTTTCCTGCACATCCCTTCCTTCCTTCAGGGCCTGCGGGGAACTGCTGCTGCTGCGAACCCTCCAGCTCCCTCCCTCTCTCCCCGGCAGTGTCTTCTATTTGTAAGCGGGACTCTGCTGGGTCCAGCGGCTCCTAGTGGCAGTCAGCAGCTCTGCAGCCCATTTCCGTATGGGGGGTAAAGGAAATTCTGCATGCACAACATTAATTTCTGCGCAAATTCTGCATTGCACAGTGGCGCAGAATTCCCACCGGAGTAAAAAAGAATGCACTCTCCACCAACTACTTAAACTTGTCTCCTGAAAACAGACATTGTTTTTAATACTGCCTGAAAAACACAGGCTGCAGTTTTAAACGTGTTCCAACATTTTTTTCAAATTAGTAAAATTCTTTAGTATTATTTCTGTCACTGTGGCGCCTAGAGAAGCAGCTATGAAGGACACAGAGTCTGACCCAAAACCCCCTGCAATCAACAGAAGGATTTCTACTGGCCTCCATGGGCTTTGAATCAGGCCCTAATAAAGTACAGAGACAGCGGCTCTGGAAACCCCTTAGACAGAGCAGAGGAAATTTAATTCTCATTTTTGAGAGGCTCTGATGATCTCCGCCCTGTTGGTAAAGTAACTGGAATTGACTTTGCTCTGCTGTCTTGTTTGTTCCCCTGCATCAGGGACGGCTTGTTGATCAGGAAGAGCATTTGCAAGGCGGCATCATTGTTTGGCCATGGGGAAAAGAGAGCAGCCTCCTTCTCTCCGTGGTGTGGAGGAAGCAGCGTGTGACAGATCAGGGGCTCCACCAGCCGGGGCACTACGGGAGCCACCCAGGGGAGACATTACATGCTTAAAGTTTTATACCTAGAAGATTTTAAGTGTTTGAAGTTTTTAAGACGTTTACAAGACCCCATCCTCTCTCAACCCCCCAATGCTCTTTCCCTGTTATGTCCAGTCCCATCATCCCACGCACTGCTTGGCCACGTCGACTGTGGTCCTGCACACCCCACCCTGGGTCCCTATGCACCCTCAGCAATGACCAGCCTTTCCAGGCCTGCCTGTGGCTTGGCAAGATCTCCCTGTCACCCGTTCTCTGCCTCTCCTCATGCTCCCCAATAGCTGGCATCTCCCTAAGGCCCTCGGCCTTCTTCCAAGAATCCCTCCATCTCCCCCATTATTCTTCCCTCCTCTCTATCCCTCCTCCAGCCAACTGCTAGATCCCACACACATCACTCCCACACACATGCTCTCTATGCCTCCCCAGGCCCCTTCATCCCCTTGCATGTCCCCCAGGCCCACTCTCCTTTTCCCACATTTCACACACCCTGCCCCCTTTCAGTTTGTTGGTAACTGGACCCTGAGACCCCACCCCCGCTCAGTCTCTTCCCCCAAAGGCCCCGCCCCCAACACTCACACTTCCCCCCCCCATCCCCTTCGCTCCCTGGATTGTCTCCACCTCCCTCTCCCACCCACCCCATCAACTGGGCTCCTCTGCTCCGGGGCCCGGACGGGAGCTGCTGCAGTCTGACAAGGAGCCAACTTGCAGGTGGAAGGCAGCCCCGGCTGAGCAGGGGTTGGGGTGGGTTAGAGACCCAGCTAACCGGGCTTTTGGGGTCCGGTCAGTACATCTGACTGGACACTTTCAGGTCCCCTTTTCAACTGGACTTTCCCGTCGAAAACTGGCACCTGGCAACCCTATGCCCACAGGGTCTCCTGCATCGCCCTCCATGGTCCACCAGTGTCCTGGGTCCCCCTCCACGTTCCCCTTGTGCAGATCCAAGATCAGACAGCGCAACTCCATGCTAATGCTCGATGTGCCCCTCGCCCCCAGTCCACCGCCCTTCCAATCGCCTCCCACTCCCTCTATGCCCTCCTTCTGGACTCCTGCCCCCTGGATCCGCCCCTGCTTACCTTCCCCCTCTCCATGCCCCCCATCACTGGCTCACTCCAGCAACAACTGCAGCAAAGGCTGGAGTCAGCAGAAGGTCAGTTTAAATTATAAATGTTTACATTATTTCTACTGTAAATAGTGCTCTCTGTGCACATCAAACCAGCTCTTTATAACTCGGGAATTCCCCAAATACCCCCTTCCTTCCCCCCTCCTCCTCCAAAATCAACTCAAAGGCACCTCTCCCCCAGCAAAGCCAATAAAACAAACATGGAGGCTGGACACCAAACCCTTCTAGAGACAGGATGAGTCCCCCACCCCCACCCCAAAAAAGAAAGAATTAGGGCATTTTCCAATGACAGAGACACTTTTGAGACACTGTAACTTTCAAATCTCTCTCTGAATTTCACCAAACTTCCCAAAAATTCCCATCCCAGGGATGAATCATAGAATCATTGAATATCAGGGTTGGAAGGGACCTCAGGAGGTCATCTAGTCCAACCCCCACTGGGTGTGGAGATGTGGCAGGTGGAATTTGGGGGGGGGGGGGGCTCAGTTTATTTTTGAGAAAGCTGAGGGTTGGAGGGGAGTATTTTAAAAAGTCAGATTTACAGGGAAATTCCCCAAATACCCCCTGCCTTCCCCCCTCCTCCTCCAAAAGTTCAGCTTTCAAAATCTAAGTTCAGCTTTACCTGTGGGTCAATTCCTGCTGCTTTGTAATGAAGTATCCTGAAAGGAGGCCTAGAAGTAAATAGGAGTGTGAGTGAATAGGGAAACAGACACCAAGCCTTATTCTCCACGGTCTTGCACCTTGCGTCATCATTTTCACCTGTGCAAGATGCATGTATTATTATTAATTATTATTATTTAATTCCCACAGCTCCCGGGAGCCCCAATCATGGACCAGAATGCCACTGTGCTAGGAACAAACAATTATATCATGTTCCTTTGTAATCTGGTAGCATTTCACATCCACTCAGCAGTAGTATTAATCATCAACCAGGGTGCAAGGCACTGGAGAATCAACCCATAGGGCCAAATCAAGAGCTAACTAGATTCTAAGTGTTGTCCACTAACTCAGCCATTAGTGCCCGGCAATCAAGGTAGCGGCACCAGTGCTGATTCCTTAATTAACACAAAAAGAACAGGAGTACTTGTGGCACCTTAGAGACTAACAAATTTATCTGTGCATAAGCTTCCGTGGGCTACAGCCCACTTCATCGGCTGCATGTAGTGGAAAATACAGTAGGTATATAGTGTGTATGGTAACACCCATTGTTTCATGTTCTCTGCGTATATATATATATATCTTCCTACTGTATTTTCCACTACATGCAG